AACATTGAAATATTTCTGGACTCAAAAATTCCGTGCGGAAACAGTAGTGTCAAACTTGATTGGTAAACGAGATATTGCCATATCCAAGAAAAATACCAATATTGTGGGTGTGTGTATTGGCTATACCGATATCCATTAGATTATCATTGTTAAAATCGCTAATCACTAATGACTCTGGTCGGGAACCATTTTCATTTATGAGTGTTATTTGCTTTACAAAAACTATATACTCATCCCCTAGTATCACACTCATATCATTGGTATCTGACCGGACGACAACGATATCTAGTCGAGTATCGTTGTTGAAATCGCCAACAGCTACAAATTCTGAACTAGAGCCTGTTGAATAACTTGTTGCTGTGGCAAAAGAGCCATCCCCATGTCCCAGAAGGACACTCACATCATTGCTTTCAAGGTTGGTGACAACTATATCGAGCCGACTGTCATTATTGAAATCACCAACATCTACAGACCATGGTCCACTGCCAGCTGAAAACTTTGTTTCTTCTGCAAAAGAACCATTTCCATATCCAAGAAAGACGCTCACATTATTTCCACTGGCGACAACTATATCTAATCGATTATCGCTGTTAAAATCACCAACTGCTACAGAAGTTGGAAAGGAACCAGCTGCATAGTTCGTTGAAGTTGTAAAAGAGCCATCCCCATATCCCAGAAGGACACTCACATCTTCGCCATCTGTATTGGCAGTGACGATATCTAGTCGGCTATCATTATTGAAATCACCAATAGCTACATATCCTGAACCATAACCAGTTGAATAATACGTCGTATTTCCAAAAGATCCATTCCCATATCCAAGAAGGACACTTACATCGTAGCTGTCATAATTGGCAATAACGATATCTGGTCGAGTGTCGTTGTTGAAATCACCAACAGCTACAGATGCTGGAGAAGAACCAACTATATAATTTGTTCTGTTTGCAAAAGAACCGTTTCCATATCCAAGAAGAACGGTCACATCATCATTATTCCAATTGGCAACAACGAGATCTAATCGATTGTCATTATTAAAATCCCCAAGAGCTACAGACATTGGACCATCGCCAGTCAAATATCTTGTTTCTTCTGCAAAAGAACCATCACCATACCCAAGAAAAACACTCACATCGTCACTACCCGAATTAGCAACAACAATATCTAATCTATTATCGTTGTTGAAATCACCAATGGCTACTGATGATGGACGATAGCCACCTAAGTAATCGGCTTTTTTCGCAAAAACTCCACGATTGTATGCAAAATAAATATCCACATTATCACTGTCAGCGTAAACAATCGCGATTTCTGATCGTTTATCATTATTAAAATCACCAGAAGCCACAGCCAACGGACGTGAATCAAAACTAATTCCTTCACTTGTCTGATTGGCAAATGTTCCATTCCCGTTTCCCAGGATAATACCTACTTGTTTTACACCATTATTTGCAACAGCGATGTCTGCCACACTGTCGCCATTGAAGTCACCGATAGTAACTGCAGTCGGACGAGAGTTTGAACCAGTGCTAAGCATTATTGGACTTTCGAAACTACCATTGCCGTGTCCAAAAAGAAGGTTAACATTATTAGTACCGTAATTGGCCAAGACGATATCCATATTGTTGTCTTCATTCAAATCACCGCTGACTATGTACTGTATGTTAGATCCACCACCAGATGCATAGGTTATTTCATTCAGAACTGCTCCTCTGTGATATTGCAGCAAGACGCTCAAATCATTGCTGCCAGAATTGGCGACAACGATATCTAGCCAACTGTCATTGTTGAAATCACCAATAGCTACAGAATATGGATAAGAACCAGCTGAATAATTTGTTGCAGTCCCAAAAGAACCATTACCATATCCAAGGAGGACAATTACATCATTTTCAGACCACCTACTAACAACGAGATCTAGCCGATTGTCATTGTTAACATCATCAACAGCTATAGATCCTGTATTAGCGCCAGCTAAATAGCGTGTTTCTTTTGCGAAAGAACCATTCCCATATCCAAGAAGAACACTTACATCATACCCACCATAATGGGTGACAACGATATCTAGTCGAGTATCATTATTGAAATCTGCAACAGCTACATATTCTTGGCCATTACCAGCTAAAACATTGGTTGCAGTTGCAAAAGAGCCATTCCCATATCCAAGAAGGAGACTGACGTCGTCACTGTATTGATTGGCAACAACAATATCTAGTTGATTGTCATTGTTGAAATCACCAACAGCTACAGATTTTGGAGAAGAACCAACTGTATAATTTGCTGCAGTTGCAAAAGAACCATTTCCATAGCCAAGAAGGACACTCACACGACTACTATACCAATGGGTGACAACGATATCTGGTCGCGTATCATTGTTGAAATCTGCAACAGCTACATATTCTTGGCCCTTACCAACTGAAATATTGATTGCAGTTGCAAAAGAGCCATTCCCATATCCAAGAAGGATACTGACGTCGTCACTGTTTTGATTGGCAACAACAATATCTAGTTGATTGTCATTGTTGAAATCACCAACAGCTACAGACCATGAAGAAGAATCAATTGAATAGCTTGTTGCTCTTGCAAAAGAGCCATTCCCGTATCCAAGAAGGACACTGACACTATTGCTGTCGAGACTAGCAGTAACAATATCTAGTTGAATGTCATTGTTAAAATCACCAATAGCTACAGACCGTGGACCAGAGTCAACTGAATACCTTATTTGATATAAAAAGCCCTCATATTGACCAAGAAGAATATCAATACTATCAGTATCATTGTTTACGACGATTATATCTAATCGATTGTCCTTGTTCAGGTCACCTATTGCGACTGATATAGAAGAATAAGATCCAGTTGAATGCATGATTGGATTTTCAAAAATACCGTTTCGCAGTCCAAGAAGTATACCTATATTTTCAATACCGTTATTAGTGATGACAATATCTAATTGATTATCTTGGTTGAAGTCTACAACATTAATTGCATATGGAGAAACAGAACCAATACTATAAGTGACCAGATTAGCGAAAGTTTCATTGCCATTATTTATAAGTACACCTATTTGATGAGTTCCCGAATTTGCGACAGCTATATCGAGAAAGTTGTCAGTATTGAAATCGCCCACCGCAATGGAGTATGGATGAGAATAAAGACCCGTTGAAAACGTAACGTTTTTTTCAAAAGTTCCGTTGATATTTCCAAAAAGAATAAAAACATTATTCGTACCATAATTTGCAATGGCAAGATCTAAGTATTTGTCGTTATTGAAATCTCCAGCAGCTAATGAGGATGGAAGAGAATCGTAACCTGTCGTATATGTAATCGGAAACGAAAAATTTCGACTGCCATATCCATAAAGTATACTAATACTGTTAGTTCCGTAATAGGCGGTGACAATATCAACTAGTGAGTCATTGTTGAGATCAATGGCAATAATTGCTATTGGATGAGATGAGCCTGTTGAAATCTCTATTTGACTGCAGAAAGATCCATTTCCAACTCCATAGAAGATACCGACATTGTTGGTGCGAAAATTCGCTACTGCTATATCCAATTGGTTGTCATTGTTGAAATCACCAACTGTGACCATGTAAGGGCTAGAGTAGGAACCTGTTGAGTACATGGTTGGATCTCTAAAAGTTCCATCACCATATCCTAAATAGACAGCTATTTTATCCACTATATGATTGGCAATAACCATGTCTAAAATCATGTCATTGTCAAAATCACCAACAGTGACAGATCGTGAACCATATTTATACTCAATCGGCTTTCGAGCCATGGGTTTGAAATTGAGGTCGCATTTTAGAACTAAACGATATATCAAAGACCATATGATAACTGCTTGTTTACTTCAATAAATCTATTCATTCTAATTTGTTTCAAAGAATCAAAATTCTATCTAATATGTCGTCAGAACTCTTTCGGTAACTCTTTTAAGACATAATTCAAAGTCGCCATCTTTCAAAACACCCCTACTCAGTTTCTTGGTATTCAGATAGAGATACATATCGAAATACATCAATGAGGTCATTTCTTCGCCTCCGTTCTCTCATTTACTGTAGGGTTCATTGAAAAAAAACGTGTTATGTCACGCAATCACAGAATCAAACGTACATTAAAACGGTTATATTCGGTACTGCTCTCAGTAATTCAACAGTATTTTGGATTGACAATTAAAATAACAGACAATATAATGATTTCTGCTACGAATGCTTGTGAATAACAATAGACAAAATTCTGTCGATCAATAAGATAATGTGAAGCTATTAGCTGATTAATCATGTGCGAACAGTATGCCATATCAACAACAAATGTGCAAATATACATCTCTAGTCTTTTCTGTGTACTAAGCAACAAATGACTTCTATCGATCTGCTTGCTCATAAATAATAATAGGTATTTTTTCAGTTTTTAAGTTACAGATTTTCTATTACATCTAAGCTCATTTTCGGGAAAATCGGTCTAATGTCAGGTTTCACAATATTTTCAAGATGTTTCAAAGATTAATCATTTTTTATTATCGAAAAATGTAAAAGTGGAAAAAATAGAAATATACTTGTCGTGTGTTCGCAAAGTGAAGATACTCAATCACTAGCTCGATATTATTCGAATAAAAGTATTATTTTATGTGATCTATAAAAAAAAATTAATCGATTTAAAGAATGGTAATAAAAATAATTCACCAGAATATAATAAAGAAATGACAAATCACTCGAGAATAGTAGATCGAACACACAAGAATCATACAGAAAGACAGAAAAAAACGAATATATGATAGCATACTAGCAGAATGAAGAAAAAACTATAGATGGAATACATACACTGCTTGCTCTGCTTTCCAGGCGAGACAAAGTGAGAAAATATAAAGAAAAATGTGTTCGAGTACCACCAAAACTAATAAAAGAACTACTCAAGAACATAGTAGAAAATCAAGTTAATCTTTCTGCAACGAATAACAATATATAACATCAGTTTCTAAGAAAATCAGATCGTGAAATTGTTGTTTTACTAGAGTATGAAAAAAACTTTAAGAAAACGTAATAATCATTATCTTAGAGAAACTCATTATCTTTATTCATCTAGAGTAAAGCGGCAATGGGATAATGTTTTCTGAAATTCTTTTCTAATCTATAATCTCTATGAATAAGTAAAAAACAAAGCTTCGACTTATGTACAAAGCATCGAATAAACTGGTGATGATCATTTTTATTGTTCGCATTTGTCACTGTTAATTTGAAATGAAAAATAAAAGCATTTTTAATGCTTATAATTCTGTCTTCCCTAGCTGATTTGTTTCGAGCACGTTGACATGAAATATTATCACAATATGAGCTATTTCAACCACAACTAATAATACTAGTAGACTAGCATTGTAGCTCTTTATTGTAGAGTATATGCGGAACACCAAGCAAGAAGAACTTACCTCGCGATTTCGGTGAAGTAGAACAAACAACTATTATGCCAATGACTGTAACGATACTCGTAATCATAGGTAACACAAAGATCGGTTTGGTTACGAAACCCAACATTGACCACCAACAAAATTTCCTAGAGAAGAACAACAATGACGATAACTTACATCAAAACAAAAATTATACATATTCTGTTGAATGGTGTAATTTTTTATTCGAGTGATAGTATTGTTGTGAACTTCTGTTGCATTTTGTGTATTGGGAATTAATCTCGGCTCTTTATTTGCGTTGTCAAAAACATCTTTCTTACAAGGCGTGTATTCGATCAATTCAACGTTATCATCCACAGAAATCATTCTGATCTAGAGTAAGAGGATAGTTACGAATAAAATAGATGCCTGATATGATCATATAAATATATCTGTAACTATACTTAGTTTCTATAGATAAATATGGATGCAATAATTTTGATTAATCCGTTCAATCGATCTACCGATAAGTGGATGACTACTCTCTGCAATCTTATCGAGTTTTCAACTATCAAATAAATGTGTTTAATTGTTTGAGAAGACTGCACAAGATATGTGTCGATAAACTTGTACCCAATCGAAGTAGTGGCGCAAATGATCATTATACTGGAATGATTATTAAAGATACTGTTTCAGTGGAAGATGTTAGATATTATTTGAGTTTCTTCCAGCAGAAAATGAATATTTTCTTTAGGAGCCATTTCCAGTTTTATCTGTTTTCACATATTTGGGCGATATACATTTGTTTGAAATCAGAATATTATGAACTTATAATTTTTAGACGGAACTATACATTATTGAGATGAAATTATCTAAGGAGATTTAGGGATGCAACAAATCTTGAGATAAATTTGGATTTGGCATCGAACCATTGAGGTTTGAATGCGGATTTAGACTTATATGTAATGTTTGGATTCTAGTTTGAATTTGTAGCTTCGGTTTGGGCATAGGTTTCAATTCGGAAGCTTATATTTGGATTTGGTTTGGGTTTGGTCATCATCGGCTCCAAGCCCAAAGGTTTAGTAAGCTATGCTTCCATTAACAACAGTCTACTGTACTAGGGGTGAGGTAGAATTAGAAAAAGATCTTGGTATCTGGGATCAAATTCAAATCCAAACACAAACAATTTGAGACCAAACATTAAAATCTTGTTTTCTGCTTCTACTCCATCTCTAGTACAGTAGATTGTTGTTTTCAACATCGTACCTTACCAAACCATTTGGCATTGGGGCCAATGATGACCAAATTCAAACTAAATCCAAAGCTAAACCTCCAAATTCAAACCTATGCCCAAACCTAGACTACAAATCCAAACCCAATGATGCCAAACCCCAAACTTTTGGATTTGTTGCATCCCTAAGGAGATTTCTGTCTCTTTACCTCTCTGCTTTAGTTGCGATCAGGGTGGGTGTGGGTGTGGTTCTTTGCTTCATGCGCACCAATACAGCCACAACAACAACCATACCTAGATCCTACACCAACACACTCACAGTCTTTCGTTTCTTCTCACTTGGTTGTTAGGGCGTAGAGGAGAGGCGAAAGTCGTAAAATCCAGATTTAAAACTTTCACTCCCTATTTCTTCGAAAATGTGTGTGTTGCACAATATACTAGAAGATGTTGTCCATATTTTTTCAGAACCCGGTAAAATATCGTGCACAAAAGGGGTGTTTTTAAAAGTTCATAAAGAATAGCATATATTTTATTCTATAGGCGTTGAGTCAAAGAATCTCAATAAGAAAACTCAAAGAAACTTCAAGCAAAAAGCTGTGGGGGCACTTAAGCTGAAGCATCATCACTCTTTAAAACAAAATTTCGGAGTAACAGACGTTTCAATTTGTCAAAACCTAGTTTAAGAGAACACCTTTTCATGCATGGACTGGACCCAAACCGTTCGAGCTCTATTCATAACTACGTAGTAACTGGGAAAATATCGAACTGCTCATGTTCAGTGCATCTCTATCCCTTTGAGGAAGACTTCCTGAATTATTTATTTTCTCTGCAGTACCACATCTCGCTTTTAGTGAGATCAAATCTTTTCGAATGCTAAAAGATTACAATCCGGAAGGGTGTTTCTCTATGCTGGAACTCAAAAAGTGTATTGACAATTCGTACTACGAACGCTTGGCTAGAAAAAGAGCGTAACAATAATTAATATCTGCTATTAATTTCATGCAGAATATTCAAAGGATTTTTGCTGATAGAAAAATAATTACAATGGTAAAAAATATAATACTATACAAGCTTACGAGGAATATTTTTAAGTGATCAATGTACTCAACACTTATATGATACTCATCTGTAGAGAATTACGAAATCAGAGTAATCTTCAAGGAGTTCGTACTTCTGTTGAGGTCCCATGTCGTGAAAATCGCCGCAATTTCGGTAATTTATCGAAAAAGGAACGTAAAATCGCGATAAATCGAATTATGTTGAAAAATTAGCGATAAAATCAGATTTCATCGCGATATTGAAACGAAAATCGATTAATCGTAATCGCTGAAAATCAGAATGATTAATCACGATTAATCGAGAATTTTTTAATAGCTGGGTGTAAATGTATTGTTACAAAATAGAAATTTTGACATAGATTTGTAAAAAATCTAAATTCAACACACTAGACTCCGGTTCTAGTAGTGTAACTAGTGAACAACGAAAACAAACTAATTATTGTATTTGATGTTAGTAGGATATATTTTCATTGTTTTAGCAATTACGATTAAGATCAATCTTTTAATCACTTGTTTGTACTCTTAACAAATAGTCTCTGAGTATTCCATTCGACTTGCATAGGATACTTTATTCTAATTTAACGTATACATGTANTGAGGTATCCTATGGCTTAGCCAACGATTGAAATTCAAAAGTGAAATGTCAAAGTTTATAACGACTAGAGTTTGCTAGAATTTGTATTGAAAAGATTACATAAGGTGAACGTCGGTAAGTGTGAATGTGGCAGAATTCGGCAGTATATATGTGCATATACAAAATCTTGCAGATGTAAACTCAAATAGGATTCTTTGTCACTCTTGGAATTTTATATGACCCTACACAATTATTCCTATATCTAAATCAAAATCTTGCTTGATATGTTGTTTTGTTCTTTGTGACAAACATTGATACTATTTGCAGCACCATTCAAATCATTATGATAGTTGTTCATGACAAACATAAATATATTCAAAATGTAAAATGTATGACGACACATAACTTACATCGATTACGAATATTTGTTTATCATATAAAAACGGCTGAATTCAAATTGTTAAACTCAATTGTAAATCAATTTTTGCCTGTAAATATTCAAAATATTACTATAAAATTGTTTCAAAAATAAAATGATATTAAATATTTAGTTGAATTAAATTAATTTCGTCAGTAAATTCATGAAAATATAACAGATGCGAAAAAATTTTGATGTTTTATTAAATGAATGTAAGTCGTGTAGATTAACGGAAATTATTTTTATATTCGTTTAAAGAGTATGAAAATGCCAACTTTTCTATCGTCTTCCTATTATTCATAATCAAAAAACAAAATACAAAAGTATTTTTCTTTCATTCTTCAATGTGACATGTTTTTCGTCGTTTTAACCTTTATTCATTTTCTTTCTTTCTTTTTATTTTAGTTATAACTAATGCAAATGCACATTTTATGGTAACAAAAATCAAGCGACGTTGAGTAGTTAGCTCAATTCTCATATGTTACTCAACATTTCGATAACAAGAATTACCTGACGTCTATTTTTGTCGTCTGTAATTATACAAGTTTCACTGAAGATTCAAATACAAGAAAATAAGTCGAATATTTGGTTTATGCTTTTTCATAAAAATGAATCATTCATCGTGTTATTTTTTTCTTGTCACATTTTCCTTTCTCTTTCGCGCATTATATTTAAGGTTGCACCACCCATGTAAATTCATTTATATTTATTGTAGAATTCTAAATATCAAAATATGGAACACGAAAAGCGTCAACGAAATAATTTTATTGATGATTATGATGATAGCAAGAGAAAAAAGATAGCAAGTGAAAGTCACCAGTGGTAAGTCATCAGAAAATATTTTTAAATCTAAATTTTCTTTTCTTTTCTTTTTTTACAGTGTATCAAGAGAATCTGTCACATATTTCGAACATCTTTCTAATGAACTTATTTATGAGGTATTTGAATTTCTCGATTGTTTTCATATATATGAAGCTTTTTTCAAACTTAATATGCGATTTCGCAATCTTCTTGCTAACTCAACTCTTCCTATTAAAATTAATATTTCATCTATGTCTAAATCAGCTTATCAAAAATATTATACAGATATTATCGTGACCAACGCCTATCGAATTAATTCACTTCAATTATCAAACTTATTTATTTATGATCTTACATCGTCACCAATTCAAATTCTACCAAAATTTCTTCAACTTGAAACACTGATTTTTGATAATGTGGAATCAGAATATTTGGAAAAACTTCTTCGTTCATTAAAATCTTTGCCCATACTCTCTTCATTGACTATTAATTCACTTAATAATATAATAAATAAGAATGCTATCTATCATGAAATATTTTGTCTACGTGCTTTGAAATATTGTAAAGTGTCCTTAGAAAGAAATTCTAACGATGATGATCTACTACCACCGATTGCGAATCATTACAGTCCAATCGAACATCTAATCATTAACGATGACATGTATTTAGACGAACTTAATTGTTTGGCATCATATGTTCCTCAACTTCGTCGTTTTTCAATTCAACTACGGTCAGCATATTGGAAACAACGAAACAAAGTACATCCACCTACATTAAATCATTTGACACATGTTTTTCTCAAAATGAATTATGTAAATTTTAATGAATTCGAACAATTAGTCATTGATCTTTTCGCTACAATTCAATTTTTACGTATTTCGATAATAAATAACGGTGATATGAACTATATGAATAATAAAAGATGGGAAGAACTGATATTATCCCATATGTCACATTTACGTATATTTGACATTCGATATGAATGTTGCCTTTACAATATGACTCTTGATGATAATAATCCGTTTACATTAAATGATTACATCAATCAGTTTACAACTCCATTTTGGATTGAACGGCAATGGTTTTTTGAACTTCAGTATTATCAAGAAAGATACTCAAATCGAGCAATATTCTATTCAACAGATCCATATAGGTATTCAATAGATTATATTTTTAGTTACAGCATATGTATATGTTGTGTTTATTTTTTAGAAGAAAAACTTATACATTATCACAGAAATCAAATAAAAAAACTTGTTTAAACTCCTCCGAAACTAATCTTAGTTCAGTTCATCATGTTCAAATTCAACGTGAAAAAGAAATGATCAATTGTGTAAATTATTTTCCGAATGTTACGAAACTTACTTTTGAAAGTGGTTTTTCTACTACTCATAATTCAATGGTAAACATACTCAGTTGTATAATTCCTTTGGAACAACTGTCTATACTAGTTCTTGAATGTCATTATTTCTCTTTTATGAAATTAATTGAATTATTACGCTTTACTCCCAATATTCATACATTGATATTTAAATCTATGCCTTTTTATAGAAACAATTGCATATCAATTCAACAAAGTGAAACTCTTCGATTAGTTTACAATAGAAATAAGATTACAAATGTGACATTTAAAGAAGTTTGCAGATTAGAAAAGCTTCAATTGCTTGTTGCTTTATGTCCTCGATTACAAAGTCTTACAATAAGAACACACATGAAGGATTTCGAATCGATAGCACGATTTCTATTGACAATTAAGAAAGAGAATACTGGTCATTTATGTTCGTTATGTTTTTTAACAGTAACAAATAAGTGGCTCGAAATATTGGAGATATTGATCACATCTGAAACACTTCTTCATAATTATAACTTAAAGCTTGTCGGTTCGAAATTATATTTATGGTGGTAATAGTTACAGAAATAAACAAAATATCTTATTCTTGAATATTAATTTTCAATAAATACGAATATTAAACGTTGTTAATAGATTTTGAAATGGATATGTCATCGCTTGAAACTAATTATTGAGAATATGACGATTGTAAAAAAGACTTTACATCAGAGAAAATAATTTACTATAATCTATTTTAATCTGATTGTTTATAATTGATATCATTTGATTTCTTATCTTCAATTCTATCTAATGACGCGAAGTTCAACTAAACGAAAATTGATTTTAAATTATTATTGTTAATGTCAAAGAAATTTCTCAGTCTTTTGTTTTGTTTCTTGGATTTAAAAATTAATGTAGTTTTCATCAACGATCTTAGACGAAAAGAAATCATTCTTTACTTTTATCTGAATAATATGAAACATAGTGTCACTGACTAATAAAAGTAAGTAAGAAAATTGCGTATGAAGTGAATAATATTCTAAATAAACTTAATGATAAGAGAGAAATTTGTGACCACAGTAGAAGGTCTGAGGTCTTCTATTGTCTCTAACGCATTACCTCTTCAAAGGAGATTTTCTCCGGCAAGAAGTTTCGTTGATTCGGATGATCAGAACTATTGAAATCGCGATATCATCAGAATTTCTCAATACTTTTTTCTACTGCAAACATATGTCTCATAAAAGAAACAAAAAATTTCGTAATTCTTCATTGTTCTTACGTAATATCTATCATATATATTCTTCAAGTTTCTTTTCTGTTGATCTATCATACACTAAGAGTAGAGTATATTTTATTGTTAGTCTTTCAATTGTAGTAATAAAGTTGTATATATTTGGTAAGTTTTTTTTGGTCGTGAATTTTTAATAGTTCAATATATGAGGAACTACCAAGATTTATTGTTTTTTGGATTTAATTAGGTTTATTTAAATCGTAGAGTATCTCATTGAATTGACTTTATCTAATGAGAATCCTTTAAAGTTTGAAAAGAAAGCAATACGAGTTAAACAATAAAATGTGGATATCACTGTTCGAAGATAGAAATATTGATATTTTCTGTGTTTCATTTTGAAATAATTAATAATTAATGTATATTTTGCATATTAGAATAGTCAAATTATGGCGTCAGATATTGATTATGATATTTTTGATTATAATTTAAGTCAAGATTCTTTCGAAATCGATTATCAAATTGATCTATTTGAATTTTGTCAATGTTTTAAATCGAGAAAAAGTAAACAAAAATTAAAAAAATCTTCGTGTCCAATCTCATTAAAAATTATTAAATCACAATCAAAATTAGTCAAATTGAATTGTACGAATGATAAAATAACACGTAAAGCTGAACCAAAATCATTTCGTTACGATCGTTTTTCAAAAAAGTCAAAGACTTTCGAATGTGATGAAGAATTTCAAGAAAAATCAAGACAATCCATATGTATGTAATCAAATACATCATAGAATTGCTCAAAAATGCTTGAAGTTGAACATTTACAAAGTTTTGAAAATTTTCGTCGTCATGTCTATTATGTTAATCATCAAAGAATAAAATGTTCTTTCCAAGATTATCCTAATATCGATATAACTGATATTCGTCTTGTATCAATAAATGAATCTGTTCAAAATGATTTTATGGAAAGAATGAATAATAATACTTCTTATTTTTCAAAATTAGTTTATCATGGTACAAAACTAAAAAATATCGAAAGTATCCTTCGTTATGGATTTTTAATACCAAATCGAGCACATCCAACTAATAACGAACCATCTATCATTGTTTCACAAAATGGTCGATCATTTAGGACTGGAATTTATTCATTATCATATGTTCATGTTATGAATAATCTTTTAGTATGTGCAGCATTACCGAAACGTAACAAATTTGGGCGAATTAAACATTCTCATGGAAATATATTAGTTTTATCTCATGTATCACAAATTCTACCATTATTTTTAATTGACTTTAAATATCTTAATAGTTCACATATGAATTATCCTTGCTTTAATGAAGAAAAACAAGTCCAAATAAATAAGAACAATGAAATAAAAAAACCTATTATTATTTCAAGAAAATATTTACGAAAATTATTAAATTATATGAATGATGAAGTACGAAAGAATAATCGATATCAAGTGCGATCATTTGGGTGTGTCTCGGGTATGGGTGTGATTGTGGGATTGGCATCAGTGTACACAGTTGGAGTACCTACATCCTCATCCACATCTACATTCTATTTTCTTTTATAGCACGATTATACATCATGTTTGTCAATATTCTTCGTCTTTCTCCTATGATATTTCTCTGATGCGGTATAAATGTCACCTATTATAAGTTAAGTGAGAAGATCGAAAATTAAGGTAAACTTCTCTAGTTTATTTGTACGTGAGAAATGAAGAAAATATAACAGAGACAGTAACTCAGTTATCATGAAGCGTTAGAATCTGAAGAAAAACAACCACCACACGATTATAAGCACGACCACGTACATATATACATATGCAGTGCAGTGGGAAACTTTTTAGAACAACTGGGAAAAACATATTAAGAAAGGATACATAAATAATGATCAGTGGTAAAAATTCAATGAATCACTACATCACAATAAGGAAAGATATGGGAATGAAAAGGGGCTCAGACATACATGCATATACACATAAGATTTTATTTTGCTTTTTTTGTTTTTGCTTTGTGCAATAAAAACTAACACAAAGAAGGTCTGATAATCGCATTCATACTGTTTTTACATGCTGCTGTACACTTTTGAGTTTTATGGTTTCTTTTGCTTTCGTTTTCTATTTTACAGTTTTTTCTTTACACATGTGGCGAAGCCGTTACATAAAAACGACAAAAAGAAGGAAGGTAGATTGCACCACAGAATCGAAGTGACTCTTTTCATTGACAAAACTGCCAATCATTCTTTAATCATACTTATTTACTGACTATGCAAAAGACAAAACACACAGCATTTATAGCAGCTTGACATCAACCATCAAGTACAAGTGAATATCGCTTCTTTTCGGACATCTTATTTATGTATGATATTGTCAAACATTTCAGGTCAATAATCACGGTAATTTCAATAGACTCTTATCATATTCTAAATCAACTGTTGACAACTGTTTTCTTGTTTTCATAATTAGATAATCATGACTCTACCCAATCAAATGAATAATTGAGAAATGACCATTAAAATGCACTATTTTGTCAAAAAAAACAGTACAATGAGTATTAAGATGCATTTCGATTCGTACATGAACTATTTTGACCCTATTTTTTTGAAGTTTTGAGTTAATTTAAATACGTTTATTTTTTCTAAAAGCTACATGAGTTTCTACAGTCTTTGCTTACTTAGCGTTTAGCGTTCATCCTATTTTTCACCATGGTCAACAATACAATTCGAAATTTATATTGAAACTTCAAAATATTGTTGAAAACTAAGATGCTAGACCAAAGTTCAAGTATTTAGCTCGTTGTCTCTTTGCAGAAAAATTCGTGGGCGATACAGATTTTTATTGATTGAATTTCTATTTACGCTTATTTATTTCGTTTATTTTACAAAGATGAAGGGTGTATACTAAGTTCTGATCTCCTTCAAATAATATTCTTCTCCTGTGTCTTTTTTTTTCAATAGAATAGGCTAATGTTTATAATACTATATATACTAGACATCTATATCTACTCTACACTTGAATTTCAATTTTCTATGTCTTATAGCCCGAAAAATAAAAGTAATTCAAAATTAATAGGAATTTTTTGATTTACTTTTATAAACATTACAGATGAAAATATTGTACTTATTCGATCAATTTCACATGAAATATCACTTTTATGTTTCTTTATATCATTTCTGCGTTCCGTTACTTGTCCACATGATTATTAACAGACAAAAATTGTAAGACCTCTTGTTACTTGATGTTCATAACATGCAGAAACCATACAACGAACGAAAAAACCAGTTTCATGAACAGATAATTTAGTGTTAGTTATTTTTAAATAAAGGCAATAAAGAATTCAAATCGATTGTATTGGATTTAAAAAATAATCTTATCTATTGAAACAACTAATAGATAAA